CTCACAGCTCTGTTTGGCAGAACCCCCATGAGTGAGAGGTGTCAAGACACCGTCTCAGGGAACAGCTCCAAACTCCTTTTTTTTTCACATTGTTTCTCTCCAACCCACTAACTTGGGTAATCATTCCTTAACTCTGGATGACATAAGTAATCCCACAATAAACATGAGGACTACATAATGTCATTTCTGCCTAACTTCATTCACATTAAAATCAAAGTAGCATTAAAAGTGCCATGCTATGTTTTCTTAGCCTCACAAACAGACGCTAGGCATATTAAGTAAGGAGATAACTTGCTTTGCCTTTATCAGCTGGAAACGTCAAAGCAGCTCTCCTTTTTATGTAGGCTAAACACATTCCAGTCCCCACACATCAACACATCAGAAGGTTTATTATCTTATTATCTAATTAACAAAAAATAGCACCTTCTGTGTCAAGAGTAAATTATGCAAGTGCCATTTCCCCCTTACTCATTACCAAAGCTTCTAGCTCACCGAGATTCACTAAGCCTTTGCCCTTCTGAGCCCGAGTTCTTCCCTTACTAATTTTTATAGAACTACTCGGTTTGAACCGTAGCACTAACAAGGCAAGTAAACCGTGCCCCCCTGAAGAGCTTGGTCATGTGTCTGATGAGGTCCCCTGTTGGCTTGATCTCATAGTCTCAGCAGCGCAGGTTACTCTTGCAATGTCTGCACCCTGGCCAGTGTAATTGCCTTTCTGTGTTCCCGAGAAGATTAAATATATCATTTCTGCGCTACGCCCGAATTAAAGGGACAAGAAAATATGAGACATATAATCCATAAAGAAATGTTACGTGCCACAAATCCAGACCATTCAAAAACTTACCTAAAATTAAAAGGAGAAATTAGCTGAGTCTGTTAACTTGTCCATTACAGGAAGGAAATGAGGTATATTTTGGTGTAAGGTAAGTGACGGTTCTACAGCACCTTCGTTGCCCTGACTTTCCCGATGAAATAAGCAGCCCCACAAGCGGATTTAAGCTACAGGACAGGATACCTCCCTGTATGTGGGAGGAGGGGTGTGGATTTTTTATTGATGACCTACAGTTGGTGTACGGGTGAGCTGCTGGATGTCCATCCATTTGGCCAGGTAGCACAGAGTAGCAGCTACTCCTGTGAATGGATGGCTTGGAAATCCGTGTATGAATATCATAGTGAAACTGTCCAAATTTTCTAGTGAAGCTTAAATACAACTGCACACAGATAGGTAATGAATGCCTGATCGTACTGTAACTGTAGAGAGAACTCGAAGGCTTTTAAACCATTCTTTTATTACCCTTCCTGGGTGAGTCACATGGCAAAACGACTGCCGTGAGCAGGAGGCAGTCCCTTAAAATCTGACCAGATCCGTCTTGTGCCATTGCCCAGCCAGTTCCCTCTCTCTAAAGAGGCACTCCTACTCTGGCAGCGTCCTTGCTACAGGGCAGATGCTCTCTGTGCTGCCTCCCATAACCCTTGCAACAGTCCATCCTACTGTGCTCACCCGACCAAAGGCTCTCCCTGAATCATCCTTCAGTCCTGACAAATTAAAAAGCCGGAACGCCGACATGCCCTTATCGTAAAGAAAATGGGATTGTCCCATCTCTGCCGTGCAACAGTCCCAAAGGGCATCAAATCATAGAAAGGACTTCAGCAGAGCTCTGCCCTCCCTCTGGTGCTGTCTCCTTTGGAGGTAGACGGGGACACTGATGGCTTTCTCAAAATTGTCAAAGTATTTTTTTCCATTTGAAAATAAAGCATACAGGTGTGAGTCCTGTTAATTCAGGCAGCAGCATCTTTTGCCATCCTGATAGCATCCAGCTGTTAAGGGAGATTGCTAGGGAGATGGGGTTGTCCTGTTCCTAAATCCCCAGAAAGCATAGCAGCTTCCTACAAAGGAATGAAAAAAATCAATAACTGCCTAGTGCAATACACTCTCTCCCGTGTAGAAGCCCACGATTTCATGTCAGACAAGACATCAGCATAATTGATACCATCGTAAGTAGCTTCCTCTGCAGCCACTGCAGAAAACGTGCTGGCTGCATCTCATATGCTTGCCTGGATGACATCTTATGTCACTCTCTCTACCTTCCCTTCTCCCCCAGGCTTGTTTGGTATAGAAGAATCCATTGGAACCATCATTGGGCTTGTGGTGGCTGGTATCGGAGGCATAGCGGTTCTGATCATTGTTTTAACCCCACAACTGAGGAGGTGCGTCCTCTGCATGAGACAAGGCTCTCACCAAGGTAAGGAACACAAACCAAAATCTGGAATCCCGTGCTAGCAAGATGAACCCAAGCGCCTGTTTTCCAAAGGTACCTTTTTTTCAACTTCACTTAGCCATTTACTTACCTCTGGTCAGACGAGGCATCTGGTTCAGGAAAAAAGCAGTGTGGATGAAACTCTAACAGGGCTGATTCTATATTCCGTCTCATTTTCAACTACTTCTTCATTTATGTGGGGTGGAGCTTCATGCATGGGCCTAATGACTTACCTATAAACAAAACAATAGGAACTCCTTTAATTGCCACTGTCGGCAAAGAGTTGTTCAATGAGATGATGCTGCTTCTTTTAATGAAGTCCTGGGTCTCCTTCAGCTCGTTTAGGTTTATGCTGAAGGATGGTTCCTCCTCCTACCAACTACATGCTTGCGTCTGTATTCTTGCAATGCTCCTGTGCAGAAAGCCTATGATGGCCTAAATGTATGCTTGAGGTGTGGTTTGTAAAGCCCAGTAATATCTTTTACTAGAGCAGCTGATTTGGTTGGGAAAACTGGACTTTTTTGTCGCACATGAGCCAAAGAAATGGCCCGAGGAGAGGCTGATGAACCCAAAAGCTCGCCTGTTTTTTCCGGCTCTGTCAGCTGTAGACTGGAGGCTGGATTTTGAAACAAGCTTAGTTCCCATTTTGTGCAACCCAAGATGCGGTCTGCGTTTCAGACCAAGGTCAGCTGACTTTTTGCTTTCAGCGGGGAGCCGTGTGATTTGCACCTCTTCTCCCAGCACTCAAAAATCTTGCTCGCCCTGCTGGGGAAAAAATAAAATAAAAAAAAAATTCCCATCCTTGGAGGGCTGAAGTAAAAGCTGCTCTTGCCGTTCACTGGAGCGCTGCCGCCACCTGATGGCCAGCCCGGCGGGGCCAGGGCCAGGGCCAGCAGCTCTGCCCCTGCTTGCCGGGGAGGGACCCCCAGCCCTCGTCGAGAACCCCACCCGCCCCCCTAGGCTGATGCTGCCCGCACAGCATCATCCCTTTGCAAATCCCCTTCGTGTACGCGGTTCACAACTTCTTGCCAGAAAGCCTTGGAAGAGTTTATTGTGTCGTACTAACTCTGTATCGCTCAGTCGCGTCTCTCTCCCCCCCTTTCCTCCTTGCTCAGCGTAGCTTGAGGTGCAGCATTACAGGAGTTCGTGGAAGATGCAAAGCCTGTACAGGTGGAAGAACTTCTGACACCCTGTAAGCCGAAAATGGAGCTCTAGATGGAATAAAAGCTTTTGCCTCAGTAGACACCGTCTTTGGCATTTTTATTTTTGTTAGTCTTGTTTCTTTTTCCTGCAGCTCTGACGGCCATAGTGGCATATTCAGCATCCTCCTGCAGCGAGGAGCAAAACAGCCTTTTGTAAAGAAATTTGTATCATCATCTGGCAAAACCCCCACTTAGTTTGGCCACATATCTCTGACTCTGGACTCTGATAAGGTACCTTGGGTCTTTCCCTGCCATTGCTTCTTATTTTAAAGGTGGTACTCCAAGGTTGTCAGCTGTGCTTCAGAAGAGACAGAAGGAGCCTTACC